AAAGCATCTGATAACTGAAAGATACAAGTCTCCAGATTGAGAATGTCCATCAAAGGTCCAAAACGATGAATGAAAAAATATCCCACGAAGGTGTATTCCTGTGATATCTTCTTTGAAACCATCTAAGGTGTCCAGAGAGAGAGAGAGAGAGAGGGGAAAAAAAAAAACAAAAAACCAGTCTCATACAAAGACTAGGCATAAGAAGGCATCATATTATATAACAGCAGCATCAAAACTAGAAGAAAGTTCATGTTCAAAGAAATTCAGATAGAATTGACAAAATCAAAACCATAGCAGGAATATCCACAAACCTCTCTCAGTTTTGACCAGATGAAGTAGACAAAAAAATTTTAAATTTGCAGATTATAGTAATATAATATGTTTGATTTAATAACTAAACATCATACTTCATATATTTTATGTATAGAAAGCAAACATTTATTTTTAGTTGCCATTGAATATTAAAAAGTTGATCATGTACCAGGCAATGAAGAAAATGTCAATAAATTCCAAAGAAGTTGAAATTATGTAAGTCAGATGCTTTGGCTGTCCTAGGAACATTTGTTAATAATCTTAGGAATCAAAGGGCTTGGGTTTAAATAGCCATGTGAGATGGGAGACAATGCCGTGTGCCTGAATGAAGCAGGGACTCTTGAAGGCTACACTCTTAGTGAAAGACTAGAAAGCAAAATAAAACAAGAAACAAATGAAAAAACAAAAACAGAAATAGGGAAGACCGCAGAAAAAAAGCTGATCCACTTTGGCTTGTGCTATGAGTAAGGAAAGCAGGTCTTTCCTGGAAATTCTTAGCTACAAGCCCATCCTGATGTGAATTTGGGGTATAAATGTACACTATCTTCATGCTCAGGAAATTTCTCAGCCAAAATATGGTCCTAAGCTGATAGCATCTCTGAGGCAGTCGGCAAAAACAAATTCAGAATTTCTCTAGAAGAACAATTTTTCCAACCAGTTTTCCCGCAGATAAATCCCCAAGAAATATGAACTCATAACTGAAAAATAACGAATTAAGCTACCATGGGGAGGTGTTCGGTAAACCCAATAAACAGAAGGATTAGACTCCCAGTAATTACAGACAATGTAATTACATAAATCAGATTATAAAATGTTAGAAACAGAATGCTTGTTCCTAAGTACTGCAAAGAAAAATTAGCATTCAGACAAAAAGCTTTCTCAGCAAGGCAATTTTACTTTCTGCAGAAAGGGTACTACTTGTTAGCCATCTTGCCACGAGAGTACAATGAACAAAGGAAAGGCAGGCATATTTATTCCTTACACATTAGGTCCTTACTGCTGTATCTGATCTCCATTGGTTGGAGCTAGACTTCACAATCTAAACTGAACCTGATTAGTTAACAACTGAAAACTTTTCTAAATAGGTAAAGGCAATGGAGAACAAAGGAAAAGAGGAAGTCAAAGGGGCATAGGCTGCGAGCTGGGACATGCTTGTTAGCGTGTCCAGCACAGATATCTTGGTTAAAGTACAAGGACATAGAATATACTACATGGATAGGGCTTAACAAAGTTATTAGTAAAAAGAAGTTTTTGAAAATAGTCTTTAGAACAAACTATTATTTCTGACGTTTATTATTATTATTCTTTAACAAGAACAAAGTACAAGGATATAGAATGTACTACATGGATAGGGCTTAACAAAGTTACATAGGATAGGGCTTAACAAAGTTATTAGCAAAAAGCAAGAAGTTGTTGAAGAAAGTTAGTAAACTATTATTTCTGACATTTATTACTATTATTCTTTAACAAAAAGGAAAACTTTGAAGAGGAACTTTTTACTTTCTACATAAAATAAAAAATGTTTTGAATGAGTAAAGAAAAGAATAAAACCACAAGGAAGGAACAGCATACTACTATTAAACAGGCATGACATTTTCATTGATTCTAAAACACATTTTAGCATCTCTAAAATTAGGGAGTATTTTGCAACCAATGTGATAAGAAAGCATTGTCCATAGTTTAGAAAGCATTGTTTCTTTCTTTTTTTTTTTTTTTTTTGGAGTTCGCTCTTGTTACCCAGGCTGAAGTGCAATGGCCGGATCTCGGCTCACCGCAACCTCCACCTCCTGGGTTCAAACAATTCTCCTGCCTCAGCCTCCTGAGTAGCTGGGACTACAGGCATGCGCCACCATGCTCGGCTAACTTTTTGTATGTTTAATAGAGATGGGGTTTCACCATGCTGAACAGGATGGTCTCAATCTCTTGACCTCATGATCCACCCACCTGGGCCTCCCAAAGTGATGGGATTATAGGCGTGAGCCACCGCGCCCGGCCAGAAAGCGTTGTTTCTTTCTTAGTAATATGTAAAGTTATGGTATGCCTTAAATTCAGGGAGACATGGTCTTTAGACATATGTAATTTTAATCATATCAGAGTCAGTAATCATTAAAGGAAAATGATTGGTAGATTTTGCTACATCACAATATAAAGCTCTTAGGTTAAAAAAGCATCAAAAGACAAACAGGGAAAAGTATTTCCAAAATGTCTGACAAATAAGGGGTTAATGTCCTCACACTATACAATAGGATATTAGTATGGGATGAGAATATAAACAGGAAATATGTGAATTAAGAAATAGAAATACAAGAAAGTATTCAACTTCCCTAACTGGTAATAAAAGAAACAAAATAATGAAAAGTTGGATCATCAAATTTGCGAAGATGAAAAAATCAATCAATATGTGAATTGTGCTGCAAAATTGTCACTCAAACACTACAATCAGATTGGAACTTGGTGTAGAATTTCTGGAGGGCAGTTTGGCAAAATATATAAAAATGATGCCACCCAACTGAATGATTTCACTTCTAGGCATTTTTCTGAAAAGACATAACCTGATTTTTGGCACATATTTACCCCTAACAAAATTCCTCACATTATACTTGTAATGGTGAAAAATGAGAACTCACTTAAATGTCTTCTTATAATTTATTTACATAATTATACAGGTATATGCAACTATCGTATAATAAATACCGACATGTATGACTTAATGACACAAAACATATTTAATGACCAAAGCAAGTTCCCATCAAGATCTATTTGCAAGGTTTTAGTATATTTTTGAGTAAAAAACACCAAGGTACAGACCAGTATGTAGTGTAGCTATCAATTATCTTAAAATATCTAGAAAAAAAGGTTTGGTGTTTACACCTGAAAATGTTAATAGTCATCCTCTCCAGGGATTGGGAATACTAGTGAATGTACTTTTTTGTGCTTTTCTGTATTTTCCAAAATAAATAATGAAACTTTTGTTTATAGGTTAAAACATTGTCTTGGTCAGGCATGGTGGCTCATGCCTGTAATCCCAACACTTTGGGAGGCTGAGGTGGGCAGATCATGAGGTCAGCAGATGGAGACCATCCTGGCCAACATGGTGAAACCCCATCTCTACTAAAAAAATTAACTGGGTGTAGTGGCGTGTGCCTATAATCCTAGCTACTCGGGAGGTTGAGGCAGGAGAATTGCTTGAACCAGGGAGTTGGAGGTTGCAGTGAGCCAAAATCGTGCCACTGCACTCCAACTTGGCAAAAAAGTGATACTCTGTCTCAAAAAACAAAACAAAGCATTAACTTAAAAAATAAAGAAATATAAGGGCTAAAAAGTGACCACTGGTTTTGGCAACATGGAGGTGACTTTGCCACAGTGGGACATGTGTAAGCAGAGGTCGTGGGTAGAAGAGTCATTGATAAGGAGCTGGATACTCTTCGAGATGTATCTTTCAAGGAGCTTGACTGAGAAGGGAAGGAAGGGGATGCAGTGGGTAGCTAGAGAGGTAGTTGGGTCATGGGAGAGTTGGGTTTTTTTGCCTTTTTTTTTTCTTTTAAGATGGAAAAGACCTGAGTAGGTATAGGCTAAGCAGAAGGAGCAGTGGAGAGGAAGAGGTCAAAGTTAGGGGAAAGAGAACTGCAAACAGATAGAGAAGAGCCTGGAGGGGGCGGGTGAGGAAAGGGCTGAGTGATCCCAAGGATCTGGGTGAGGGGGAGGTCATGAGTTTGCTGTGAATCTGATCAATGGGGATGCAGGGGTTATTCCAGAAGCACTTGGCCACCTGGGCATACAGAATAAGTAGGTGGCTTGACCTAAATCAGAGTGTCAGCCTGATGGGTGATGCATGGAGGGGAGGACATCAGTGAGAACGTGGTTCAGGCACAATCATGGGGTGCCAAAGCCAAGCTGAGGGGAAGTGAAGTCCAGAGAGGCCATCGGTAAAGAGAAAATGGATAGTCTTATGTCTGTATCAGTAAGTACTGACTGGGCGTGGTGGCTCACGCCTGTAATCCCAGTGCTTTGGGAGGCTGAGGCAGGTGGATCACCCAAGTTCAGAAGTTTGAGACCAGCTTGGTCAACATGGCAAAACCCTGTCACTACTAAAATTACAAAAAAAAAATTAGCCAAGTGTGGTGGTATGTGCCTATAATAAGAGCTATTCGAGAGGCTGAGGCAGGGGAATCACTTGAACCTGTGAGGTGGTGGTAGCAGTGAGCCAAGATTGCACCACTGCACTCCAGCCTGGGTGACAGAGTGAGACTCCATCTCAAGAAAAAAAAAAGTATGGATATGAGCAAAGGCAAAAGGGCAAAGGGCAAGGGTATTGAAAGAGCTGGTTTGATCTGGTCAAAGGTTGGGCTGTTGTTGTTTGGGAGTTTGGCTGTGGTGTGGCGCCTGGGATGACAGAACGTACGTGCATTTTGCAGTAACCTGGGTATGTCTTGGGTCCTCAAATGGTCAGCAGATGGAGAGCAGGGCTTTGACTCTAAAGGGCTTTCCTTATACCAGTGGGCACTCTGCACTTCAAACAGACTGATTGAAAAGCAGATTCCTTCCAACAAGAACGTCCAATCCAATAGCAAAGGCTCAGAAAGGCTGGGAAGTCAGTTCCTTCTCTGAATACCCTCCCCTCTGGGCTCCCAGCCACCTACCGCTGTCCCAGCTGGCTGTCTCCCTTTCCCAGTCTACTCAGTACTTACAGAGAAGGACCTTCCCGCCAAGTTGGAGGACTTGACGACCTCTGTCACGCTGACATTCAGACATGTGTGGTCTGTGACAGGAGCAGCAGGCAGAGGGCAATGAGGAGACCCTGAAACTGAATGAGATTGGGAGGGCGGGCGGCTGTAAATGGACCTCAAGGAAAGTAGAGGAGTTTTAGATTCTAGGTCTCAAGATCTCCATGAACCATCTTGACACCCCCGGCCCTCTCACTCCTCCCTGGGCTCCCACTTCCCTGATCTGCTTGGTCCTAGCCAAGTTGGACCTCCTTCTCAATCTATCTTCCTTCCCCGAAGAATCTGCAAGTTTTTGTATCCTCAGGTCACCAGCCATCGCCAACCTAAATCCCCACCCAGTACCCTTTCATGATTTCCTCCTGCACCCCTTTTAAAAAGGAATAAAGTTCTAGAAGTTCTCTTGAACTTTCTGTAGCTCTCGGGCATGCTAAGAATATAAAAAGCACCTAGCCAGGGAGGTTGTGCAGGACAGAGGCACCAAGTGGGTGAGGAGGGCATTAGTGCCAACAGGTTGAGTGTTTCTTTGACTTTCTTTTTTTATTATTATAGATTTATTTATTATTTATTTTTGAGACAGAGTCTCACTCTGTCACCCAGGCTGGAGTGCAGTGGCATGATCTCAGTCACTGCAACCTCCACCTCCCAGGTTCAAGTGATTCTCCTGCCTCAGCCTCCTGAGTGGCTGGAATTACAGGTGCACCACCACACCTGCCTAATTTTTTGTGTGTAGAGACAGGGTTGCTTAATAATGTATAATGTGTCAAAAATCATTACTGTGTGCCTGCTGCCAGGCTTAGTCCCTCCCTGCCAACTATAGAGGGTCTGTAGAAGTCTGTGCTCTATGGAGGCTGCTGGCATCATCAGATGGGTTCTAATAGGGTCTAGACTAGGTCTGGGAGGGGGGAGAGTCTGTGAGAGAAATGGAAGGAATACAATTTGAACAATAAGAGCTAACCATTGTCATTTACTGTATGCACACAAATTAGCTATTTATTATCTCCATTTTAGAAATGGGGGAAAAAAAACCAGGTGGAACGGATACAAGTCACACACCTAAGATCACACAGATAGTCAGTGGCAAAGCTGGGGTGTGAGCCCTGCCCATCTGGCTCTGGACCCGCGCCCTTGACCGCCTGTTCCTGAGACACCTCTAGGTTAAGAGCTGCTGCCACAATTACCTTTCTCCTTCATGGTGTTAAAGAGCTGTGGGTAAAGAGTGTCTTGCTGTGATGGAGTTCCCTGTGTCATCCACAAATTCAACATGGCTGGAGGCAATTTTATTAGGAAGTGATGGCCAGACGCAGTGACTCATGCCTGTAATCACAGCACTTTGGGAGGCAGAGGTGGGTGGATCACAAGGTCAGGAGTTCGAGACTAGCCTGACCAACATGGTAAAATTCTGTCTCTACTAAAAATAGAAAAATTAGCCAGGCATAGTGGCACGCACCTGTAGTCCCTGCTACTCAGGAAGCTAAGATAGGAGAATTGATTGAACCCGGGAGGCAGAGGTTGCAGTGAGCCA